GCTGACTGGGAAGTTTTCTTTCTGGCTGGAGGTTTTGCTCAGTTCTGTTCTAGCTGTTTGCCGGGACAGTCAGCCCGTTCAACCTGCAGGCTCCATAGCAGGTGTTTTCCTCTTCTGGAGGTCTCACCTCCCATCAAGGAAGAGGTCCAGATTGCTGTCTGATGTCTGGTCTCTGGACTGAAGGCCATTTAGTGCAAGACTTACAAATGACCATGGGGCAAGGCAGGAGGTATGCATGAGTGGCATGGGCAAGATGTGAGTTGGGGGATACAAAGGGAGTGGTGGAGGCCGGGCATGGCGGCTCACGCCTGTGATCCTAGCACTTTGGGAGGCCAAAGCAGGTGGATCACCTGAGGTCAGGAGTTTGAGGGCAGCCTGATAGCCTGAGCAACATGGAGAAACCCGGCCTCTAATAAAGAATACAAAAATTAGCTGAACCTGGTGGCAGGTGGTGCTTGTAGTCCCAGCTACTTGGGAGGCTTAGGCAGGAGAATCATTTGAACCCAGGAGGCGGAGCTTGCAATGAAGCAAGATGGTGCCACTGCACTCCAGCCTGGGTGACAGAAGCAGAGAAAAGGAAGGAAGGAAGGAAGGAGGAAAGGAAAAAGAAAAGAAAGAGAAGGCAGGAAGGAAAGGGAGGAAGGGAGGGAGGAAAGAAAGAAAAAGAAAGAAGGAATGAAAGCAGGAAGAAAGGAAGGAAAGAAAGGGAGAGCGAGAGAGAGGTGGGGACGGACTGCGGCCAATGGAAGTCTGCACACCTTGTTCAACGCTGCAGGCTCTACCCGAAGCCCATCTCCTACTGCCTTGTGAAGATGTGGCCTAGTGTTGCCAGATCTACTTTAAGAGAGACCAGAATTCCAAGAATTCCAGATTTTTATTTATTTGTATTATATTTATTTTTTGAGACGGAGTCTCACTCTGTCAGTCAGGCTGGAGTGCAGTAGCCTGATCTCAGCTCACTGCAACCTCCACCTCCCGGGTTCAAGAAATTCTCCTGCCTCTGCCTTTCCAATACCAGGGATTACAAGCACTCACCACCACTCCCAGCTAATTTTTGTATTTTTAGTAGAGACGGGGTTTTACCATGTTGGCCAGCCTGGTCTCGAACTCCTGACCTCATGTGATTTGCCCCCCTCGGCCTCCCAAAGTGCTGAGATTTCAGGCATAAGCCACTGCACCCAGCCTTGATTACCAGATTTGTATGTGATCTCTCTAAATTTGTAAATATTAACAACTTATTAAAAAACAAAACAACATAAACAACCACAAAGCCCCATGTGCGCCAAACATACCTTGTGAAGCTGACCTGACCAGCAGGTGGCTGTTGCGTGACCTCTCAGGAGGACGTCCTCTCCCTTCCCCCAGTGGTTGCAAAATATTTCAGACAGAAAACCAAAGTTCTCTCTGGGTGCAGTCAGTTGGTTCAGAAGCTGATGGAGCCTGGTCTTTGCATAACCCCGTCGTTCCCCTTTCTTTCTGTCAATTGTTTATAGGAGGATTCTCAAACTGCTCTGGAGAATGTTTCTACCTTTTAATTCTAGTGTCGGGTGACCTGTAATTTTCATGTTGGCTGTGGATGCCAGGAGTTGGCAGGAGTTGGCAGAGGCTCATTCGAGAGCCCCTGAGGACTGAATTCTGCCACTTCGGTAAAGTCATTTAAAAGTAGAGGGTGAGTCAGGCACAGTGGCTCACACCTGTAATCCCAGAACTTTGAGAGGCTGAGGCAGGCAGATCACCTGAGGTCAGGAGTTCAAGATCAGCCTGGCCAACATGGCAAAACCCTGTCTCTACTAAAAAAATATAAAAATTAGCTGGTCGTAGTGGTGCATGCCTGTGGTACCAGTCACAAAGAAGGCTGAAGCAGGAGAATCACTTGAACCCAGGAGGCAGAGGTTGCAGTGAGCTGAGATCACGCCACTGCACTCTAGTCTTGGTGACAGAACCTTGGCCCTCTTCCCATAGAGCTAACTTACTTTTGTTCTGCCTCCTGAAACACCAAGGTCTTGTGAGGTTAAGCAACGTGTCCAGGTCATCACTATTCGATGGCCGGGCAGCATGTAACCCAATTTTATCTAATCTTATGTTTCAGGCTTATTTCTCTAGACCAGAGCTTCTCAAATGAGGCTCCCCAGGCTCTAAGGGCTGCAGAGAAGTCTCCAGAGAAGCCACTGAGGATAGGAGTGGACACATTAGATAACTCCAAAGATCTTCACACCCTCTGGATGACTAACAATGATTGAGCACTTCCTATTTTCAAGAAATTTGCAAATTCTTTTCCAAAAATCAACTTTTTTTCATCCTCATAAGCGATGAGCTGGGGCTGATGACATCACCATTGAACAGATGAAAAAACTGAGGCCCAGGAAAGGAATGCTCAGGTTATATAGTAAGTGAGCAGCTGCCTGCATGATATGTGTCACCTCCCAACCCTCTACCCAGGTCTTAAAATACCTCTCCTGTTTCCTGCCTGTCTTCTGCTGTGAGTTTCCCATTTGCAGGAAACTGCCAGGCATTCTGGCAGGAACCGTATCTTGAGCCTGATCAGTTACTACTTAGTAGGATCAGCTGGAAGGCAAGATGGGGAGGGGGGAGGGTTGGCAGTGCAGCTGAGAGTAGTGCTGGGGGCTAGACTGGAGGTCAAAGGATGAGATTTTCTAACAGAGCATCAGGTGAGTTCTTGATCTCCACACACTTACCTCCGGGTTGCACTGCGGATCTTTATCCACTCCTTTTCCAGCCGGGAAACAAGTTCTTCTGAGGAGTTTTCATGCCCAAGCGACCAGAGATCTTTTGGTCTTAGTGGCTTCCTGTAGCCTCTCCAGACCAGCCTGCAAAAAAGGGGCATCAGGGCAAGCTCCTCCTGCCATTCACCCCTGCAGGATCTGGCCAGGCCAGCAGCTGTGTGACCCTGAGTAAATCACTTTATCTCTCTGTACCTCTACTGGCCCTTGGGTAAAATGAAAGCAATTCACTAACCCAACCTAACATTTGTGGGGCCCTTCTCGGTTCACAGAGATGGTCCCATTCATTAATTCTTATGTGAGCACATAGGGTGGTTTTTTGTTTTGTTTTATTCTTGAGATGGAGTCTTACTCTGTTGCTCGGGCTGGAGTGCGGTGGTGTCATCTTGGCTCACTGCAACCTCCACCTCCCGGATTCAAATGATTCTCCCACTTCAGCCTCCTGAGTAGATGGAATTACAGGCACCGACCAACACACCTGGCTAACTTTTGTATTTTTTGTAGAGATGTGGTTCACAATGTTGGCCAGGCTGGTCTTGAACTCCTGGCCTCAGGTGATCTACCCATCTAAGCCTCCCAAAGTGCTGGGATTACAAGCATGAGCCACCACACCCAGCCCATAAATTGATAGTTTATAATTGCATAAATGTATATTATTACAGATGTGTTTTCCAAATGGGGAAGGAAATAGACGTAGAGAGATTAAGTGACTAAAGCAAGGATCATCCCTTGGCAAGGGAAACAGACATTTCCCTGGGAGTCATAAGTCCAGCGTCCAAAACTATCATTGTAGAAGAAACCTGAATTCCTTCCTCAGCTTTATTTTACTATTATTGTTATTTTTGAGACAGAGTCTTGCTCTGTTGCCCAGGCTGGAGAGCAGTGTTGCAGTCTGGGCTCACTGCAACCTCCACCTCCCTGGTGGAGGCATTCCCATGCCTCAGCCTCCCGAATAGTTGAAATTGCAGGGACCTACCATCATGCCTGGCTAATTTTTGTGTTTTTAGTAGAGATGGTATATCATCATGTTGGCCAGGCTGATCTCAACCTACTGGCCTCAAGCAATCCTCCCATCTCAGCCTCCCAAAGTGCTGGGACTACAGGTGTACGCCACCACGCCCAGCTAACTTTTGTGTTTATAGTAGAGATGGGATTTTGCCATGTTGGTTAGGCTGATCTTGAAATCCTGGCCTCAAGGGATCCATCTGCCTTGGCCTTCCAAAGTGCTGGGATTATGGGTGTGAGCCACCACGCCTGGTCTCAGGTATCTTTAATCTTTCTGATGACACCAGCCAGAATGTCTTGCCTGGTTCTGGTCTCTGACTCTTCTCTAAGCCTCACCAAGTTCCCTTTTCTACTTTTTTAAAAATTTTTTGAGATAGAGTCTCACTCTCTCGCCCAGGCTGGAGTGCCTTGGTGTGATCTTGGCTCACACAGCCTCTGCCTCCCAGGTTCAAGTGATTCCCCTGCCTCAACCTCCTGAGTGGCTAGGATTACAGGCACCCACCACCACACCATGCTAATTTTTATATTTTTAGTAGAGACAGGGTTTCACCATGTTGGTTAGGCTGGTCTCGAACTCCAGACCTCAGGTGATCCACCCGCCTCAGCCTCCCAAGGTGCTGGGATTACAGGCATGAGCCACTGAGCCTGGCCACCAAATTGCCTTTTCTAATGCAGAGCCAACTTGGGGAAGCAACTGTTCTGACACAGAAATTATTAACATGGCTTGATTTTCCCTGGAATTATTTTTGGAATTCTCCTATATGGCAAGTGATACTATAGATTTTTCCTGTTTTGGCAGTGATAGAAAGTTTCTTTCTAGAAACAGTTTAAAGTGATTCAATTTAAAATTGCCCCAGTAGGACAAAAAAGCATAAAGAGTGGTCCATAAATGCTTAAGTTTGGGAAGCAGGGGCTAGCCCCCCCAGTAGGGATGTTTAGAAAACGCTTCTACTAATTCCACACATCCAAAGCCTGATATTTTTCATTTATTTAATAACCACTTAGGCCGGGTGTGGTGGCTCATGCCTAAAATCCCAGCACTTTGGGAGGGCATGCCATTGTACTGCAGCTTGAGCAACAAGAGTGAAACTGTGTCTCAAAAGAAAAAAGAAGAAGAATAGGTCAGGGGTGGTGGCTCATGCCGTAATCCCAGCACTTTGGGAGGCCTAGGTGATGGATCACCTGAGGTCAGGAGTTCAAGACCAGCCTGACCAATATGGAGAAACCCTGTCTCTACTAAAAATACCAAACTAGCCAGGCGTGGTGGTGTGTGCCTGTAATCCCAGGTACTTGGGAGGCTGAGGCAGAATAGGATAGCTGCTTGAACCTGGGAGGTGGAGGTTGCAGTGAGCCGAGATTGCATTATTGCACTCCAGCCTGGGCAATAAGAATGAAACTCCATCTCAAAATAAATAAATAAAAATTTAAAAATAATAACCACTTACACTCATTATGTGCCAGGCCCTTTTTTTTTTTTTTTTTTTTTTTTTTT